TCTCTACCTCGTTGTGCGGCCATGTCTTGTTTTTGAAGGTGATGAGGGAGCGCCTGCACAAGACAAGCCTCTCACCGACGATGACATCGAGACGAATTGGGATGAGTGCATCGAGACCTTCGATGCGATGGAGCTGCGCGAGGAGCTTCTGCGCGGTATCTACGCCTACGGTTTCGAGAAGCCGTCGGCGATCCAGCAGGTGTGCGCGTGTTTGTTTAGAAATTTTTGATTAGGCGCGCCCGCGCGTGTTTCCGTCCGCACACTCTAATATTTTGGTGTCGGCGTGTCAAGCAGCAGCAAGGAGAGAAAGTTCCAAGAGCGACCGAGGCGCGCGTTATTTGAGGCTGTGGGGCAAATAAAGATGAGACGGGGCGGAGCGCGAGATGGAAGAGATCTGGAGGGTTGTCGCCCGCTGCGTCGGCAGTACACGGGAGCGCGCTCGGCGAATAGCGTGCTTGTTGGTGGAGGCGCTGGGCGGGCAGGGGGGGCGTCACCAAGGGCACACGCGTGAAAACCTGCTTCATTTTTCAAACTGTTTCAGCCAACGTGGCGAAGAGAACAGTTCTCCACTCGTTCCGTCGTCTTTGCTCGATCTCTCGGAAATGCGAGCAACAGCAGTTCGGCATCGCCAGCGCAGCCCAGCTTGTAAATACCGATCGGTTTCTGTGTGCGTGTGTACTTGTCTCTGTGTGCATCGCGCGTCGTTGCTCGTGCCCGCCTGCAGCGTGCCGTGAAGCCCATCCTCATGGGCAAGGACTGCATCGCGCAAGCGCAGTCTGGTGAGTGAAAGAGAAAAACAACCACGACAACCAACACACACAAACACGTGACCTTTTTCAACCACAAAAAAAAAATAACGAACAGCGGCCACGGCTTAATCCTGCTGCTGGGCACCCCGCCGTGTTTCCCCTGCTGGCGGGGATGCTTCTGAGCCTGCTGCTGCTAGCTGGCATCACGTAAATGAGTTTTTGCTTACGTTGGTCAAGCCAAGCGCTTGCTGCCACGCCGCACGATTTAAAATTCGCCACGCGGCGTCTCTATTTTGTTTAACTCCGAGTAGCCGACAGCTTTTGCAGCGTCGTACGCACATTCTCTAACATATGTCGATACCACTGGATGCCGTACATTCCTCATGCTCTCGTAGGCGTGTGTGGAGATGGGAGTTCACGGACCACCTCTGGAATTTTCTACTACCGCAACGCTGTTTGTTCTTACTAAATAGAAGCCAATCCGCACGACACCATTGTCATAAAAATCACTGAATGTGTTGTCGGTGTAGTGCTTCACCACGAGCTTGTGGTAAATATTACCAAACCTCCCTCACGCTTAGCGGCAGTGTTACACCCTCACAGAATCGGTGCTGTGCGAGTGTACCAGCTGCCGCGAACAACGCGTGCGGGAGGTTTGGTACTACGACAATAAGCTCGTGGTGTGGCATTCTTTGTGTGCGTGTTTCAGTGTGACGATGGCGTTGTCAGCCCTTCCCGGTTTGTGCTCTATTGCGAAACAGCCCGACCATACGAGGCTGTCAAGAATGGAACGCTCCCACCGTCAGCATGATAATTGTGTATCTACGATACAGCAGTCAACAACACAAGGTCCTGATGGAGGATAAACGTGCAGACCGTTGGTTGATGTCTCTTTCGTGCGTGCTGCGTGAGGGGTTAAGACCCACAAGGAGCCAGCCACTTTGTATCAAATGAAACGTAACATTTGACCGGCATTTTGGCTCCTGTGCTCGGTAGTCTTGCGGTGCACAAAGCACACAGTTGTGTGCGTAACTAAATTATTACTAAAAGGAACCCATGCATTTCACCAGGTGTGACTCATTGCTGTATCACTATGTCGCACCACAGATGAGGCCTGTTCCGTTTTCTGCGAAAAATTGCGGAGATGCAGCAGCAAAAAATTGAAACAGTTGTGAAAGCATTTGATAATTGAGAAATACCCCTTCTCTCTACAGAATCGCGAGTCCCTCAAGTGGTGATTAACCGTTAACCAGCGGAGATAATGTTTAACGTTTAACTCTTAGCTGTAGCGAGGAACAGCCAAGCGGGGCCGAGGTACTCAGACGTGCTAGTTTGCAAGAAAGTGTGAAAGCGAGAGTGTACGACATCGTGGGCACCTCTCCCGTACTCTGCCCGCTTGGGCAACCATGCGCGTCATTAACGACCTTGAGTTTAGCATTCTTTGTGGCCTTCTTCGATACGGCATTCGCTGCAAAAGGTGGTGGGTGAAGCTAGTGTCACATACTCTGCACCCAGTGTAATCGCACTCCACGTCTCCTTTAGCAGACGCACAATTGGTGCGAAGGATCTGACGCGCACATTACCCGCGACCTTGCAGTCGATGCCGTTTGGAAACACGGCACAAGAGGGTCAAAGTGACGGTCGTCGATGACGCGTAGGGGTTTCCCAAGGAGGCAGCATCCCTAAAAGATACCACTTTCCTGCCATATCCTGGTTTCCAGTGGTGCTCGATTTGTGTAGTTCGGCAGCATCATGTACAGCTGCTCTGTAGCGGTTACGTGAGAGAGGGGTGCGGCGGGGTGATGACCAAACACAATACCATCTTTCGAGTCTGAAAACATCATGACTGACAGATCTCTGACAACCTGACCGCCACGGCATTTCCCTCTCTCTCTCCGGCCTCGTACAATTCATCACGACAATCAAAAGCCTATTGCAGCGAAGCAGTAGTCGTATGCTGGTTTATTAGAAGGAAACCCAAGCTGGTGGCGTCCTTGTTGACTCTATCTTGTATCACGCTCTTGCGATGATGCCAAGAGGTTTACCTTTTGATGTGCCACTAGAGTAGAGTTGACTCAATCTTCCTCATGGGATGAAAAACGGAGGCATCGTCGTGCATGAGTAGGGTGCAGGCAGCAGCAGCGGGATGATGACATAACAAAATACCATCTTTCGAGTCTGAAAACTTTTCATGATCGATAGAACCTCTGACAAACTGACCGCTGCGGCTGCATCGTACACGTTTCTGTTTCGAACAACTTGACCAAATCATCAAACCGCCATGGCACAGAGCCTCTCGAGGAGCGCCCGAATTGCACTAGCCGTGTCGCTTTTCACCATCTAGCAGGAACCTTCGCAGCGGTGCTGCTTGGTTTTAACATGTTGAGTTCTTTGGACTCTCGCATCTCTTCGGGAACTCCTTTTGTAGCACGTGTGATCTTTGTTTTCGTTGTCTATTCAACAGTAGCCTGTGGTTTCCAAACGGCAGTCATTCCGCCCACACCATAGCAGTCATTCCAAAGTTTGAGGCCTCCATTTTTGCTTGGGATGGGGGTTGGACGTGGAGTGCCGACATGTCGAGAAAAAAATGGTATTGCATTGCTACTCCACCTCCACCCGTACAAAATGTTTTAGATTTATGTTGCAGGAATTTTCGACTTGTTTCCGTCAGGAAGTGTTGGTTTTGTGCTCTTCAAACATGCAAAGTTGCTGGTGTTTCAATGCTTGTGAGCAGGGGGAAGCGACCCCTGATTTTTACATTTTCGCGTTCCTGAGGTGCAGTTGCTATGAATAGATTGGTGCAGGTAGCAGCGGGGTGATGACATACCAAAATACCATCTTTCGAGTCTGAAAATTTCATGATCGATAGAACCTCTGACAAACTGACCGCTGATGCTTCAAACCGAATTGTAGGATGTAGGGCTACACCCATCGATGCACGTTTATTAGATTAGGAATTGCGCGCGATTCAGTCATGTCACTTGCATCAACAAGCGTGTGAAAGGGGGCAGCGTAACTCACGACACTTGCTCCGTTGTGTATGCTGGGGCGCCGCGTAATCACACCGAAAAAAAACGCAGGTACGGGTAAGACCGCCACCTTCGCGGTGTCGATCCTTCAGAAGATCGACGTTGCCGCGGCAGACTGCCAGGCGCTGGTGCTCGCGCCCACCCGCGAGCTTGCGCAGCAAATCGTCAAGGTTGTCCGCGCGCTTGGGGACTTCATGCAGCTGCAGGTAGGTGGTAATGATGGATTGTTTCCTGATGCCTTGTCTCGTTCGCTAGCAAGCGCGGTGGTGGTGGTGATTATAGGATTTCCGGTCTGCGCTCGAACAGGTGTTCCATGTCGGGCCGTTCGCCACAGGCCGATATGCCTCCTCTGGGTTAAGGGTGGTTCTGGTGGACGTTTCGGCCCCACCTACAAACGAAGGCCGGAACCCTCACCGCCACATCCACCTGTGACTTGCGAGTGGATTTGATTGCCCTGACGCATAAAAATCTGGTGGTTAAGATTTCCTTCGTTCTCTCGCACAACCATCATTGTGGAAGTGCTTGCTTGTTGAGTTCCCTTCTTGTCGCAGCTGACAGTTGTCTTTCTTGAAGCCAACACGACCCCCTTACCCCCCCACCCCGCCCATGAAACAACGGAAACACGCAGGTGCACGCGTGCGTGGGCGGGACCGCCGTGCGCGACGACATCCGTACGCTGCAGAATGGCGTTCACATCGTGGTGGGCACCCCCGGGCGCGTGTACGACATGATCTCGCGGGGCGCCCTCCGCCTGGACCGCGTAGGCCTGTTCGTGCTGGACGAGGCCGACGAGATGCTCTCCCGCGGGTTCAAGGACCAGATCTACGACGTGTTCCAGTACCTCCCGGAGCGCGTGCAGGTGGCGCTGTTCTCGGCCACCATGCCCCTGGACGTCCTGGAGGTGACCAACCGGTTCATGCCGGAGCCCGTCCGCATCCTGGTGAAGAAGGACGAGCTGACGCTGGAGGGTGAGTGAGATGTGACAGTACTGCTGTAGTAGCATGGTACAATTTATTTGTGCGTAGACCGAATGCCGTGAGCAAGTAGGTACTGGTTTGGAGAGGTGCGTGGGTGTCGGTTTTGTGGTCGCCCGCCACAAAACTCTGGTCAACGCGAATATCGATATGGTGTCTACGTGGGGATCTTGTTCGTACGGAGCGCGGCATGTTAGTTGTTGTCTGAAGCAGGACGTACCCCTCACCTTGCCGACTGGAGGTAGAAACAACATACGGCCGAAGTCTTTGCAGTACTTGTATTTACGTATTTACTCGAAAACCGCTCCCCCCCCTCCCCGGGTCCCATGGCGCGATCGCTTCATCTCCCAGGTATCAAGCAGTTTTACATCGCGGTGGACCGCGAGGAGTGGAAGTTGGACACGTTGTGCGACCTCTACGAGACCCTCACCATCACGCAGGCCATCATCTACTGCAACACCCGGCGGCGCGTAGATTGGCTCTCGGAGAAGATGCAGGAGCGAGACTTCACCATCTCGTGCATGCACGGGGACATGGGCCAGGGAGAGCGTGACGTCATCATGCGGGAGTTCCGCTCGGGCTCTTCTCGCGTGCTCATCACCACGGACTTGCTCGCCCGTGGTATTGATGTCCAGCAGGTGGGGGAAGAACCGTCTTGTTCTGCCATGTTTTTGAATGGTTTGGCTCTCTTGTGCTTTGTTTTTTTATTCGTCGTTGTCCTGTGCGCGTTTTGGGTGTCGGAGCTCCAGTCTTGACACCTTCCCTTATGTGGCTGATGTACCTTTGCAAGCAAGGTTCCCCGTCGTTCTACCGCTGTTTTTCTTTTGTAGCCCATGCAGGCATGGAAATGGTTTTAGTCGACTGTGGGTCATGTTGAGAAGGGCTCCAAGTTTGCAACGAATATCTTGCTCCTCGCACCGTCGTGTTGTCGGCTTGTACAATACACTACTCTCGGTTCCGCTTTGACAGGCAACAACAAGCGTCCTCCCGAGGGTTGTTGTTGATTGTGTGTTGCTTGCCCCGTGCTTGTGCTTCTGCGGTGCCCCCGCTCCTTCAACACGTTTTTTTTTTCTCGTGCCCGTGATTTCAGGTGTCGTTGGTCATCAACTACGACCTGCCGACCAACCGCGAGAACTACATCCACCGTATAGGTCGTTCGGGGCGATTCGGGCGCAAGGGTGTGGCCATCAACTTCGTCACCCAGGTAAGGGTGGAGCGTATGTAGAAGGTACTGAAGGTATACTGTTGGGGTTATCCACAAACAGGGGTGGGTGGATTTAATTAGTGTTCTTGCCGATCCACACGAAAGCTTGACGAAGAGAAGTGTACTTGTTGTTGGTTCAGGCGAGGATTTGTTAGTTCGTTTCCGTTGGTTTCATGTGTACGAGAAGGATGGTCGAGAGGCAATGACGAGAACATTTCACTTGCGCCTAGACGCTAACCAGACAGTTATCTGTCGGTGAGGCTGCAAATTCCTCTAAGAAGTTCCGAGCCTTTTTTTTATGTGTGTCGCCAGTTTCGTGCAAATTTGTTTCTTGTCCCTTTGTCCCATCTTTTAATACACGATTTCTGCCAAAAGAAAGGAACGTCTACCTTAAGCATGAGGTGCTTGTTCGGAAGTAGGCAATCGTGTTGTCGTTTATCTGTGGCATATTTGTTTGCGTTACGGATGCACGTTGTTCCGTTGGAGACGCCAACGTTTATCTCTTCCGAGTGAGGGTTTCGACTGGCAGTACATTTTGTCATTATTCCCCGTCACAAAATAGTTTAGAGAGCCCTGCGCGTGCCTTCGTTTTGTCTTTGCGTCCGGCGTTGTTTTTTTTCTTTTTCAAGGCATTTCGATGTTCCCAAATCGTCTGTTTGATGGCCAACACTGTTGCCCTGCGAGTTTGACAAGTCTTGCCCTTCCTCGCACTGCGAAACCGTTCGTATTGTCTGTCGTTGCAGGGTGATGTGAGGTACCTCCGTGATATCGAGGAGTTCTACACCACTCAAGTCGAGGAGATGCCGATGAACGTGGCAGACCTCATCTAATCCGGTTTCGCTATAGAATGAGGCGGTTGACAGGAGGGAGAAGAGGGGTTCTCGACGCTTCGACGCTAATGAGTTTCCGCGTGTTTCCGCCCGCCGCACGGCCATGCACGAAGTTCTACAATACTTACTCTTTTTGAAAGGATTTCACCTATTAGCATGTCTGTGTGAACTGTTATTTTTTTTTCTGGCAGTCTTTTCTGATCGTTGATCACGTGGCGGAAGAGACAGGGAGGATAAAGCCCTCGATTTTTGTAGTAAAACTTTCAAGCTGCAGGGCAGGAAAACACGACCTTTGTCAAGATTTCAGGCGGTTCGCTACTTGTTCTATCGAGTACTCTGCATGCATCGAAGGATAAGAGGTGGTACGGGGGGGAGGAGGATTTGTAAGCCGGTTTAAGAGCGCAATGGCGGGCTAGCAATAGAGGACTTTCTTGACCAAAAAAAAAATACAGGATGTAACGGGGGTCGCTTCCGCTCGTTGGTATCCATTGCGCTCCGTGCGCGTGTACTTCGTGTGCATGGCTTTTCTCGTCGTCGTCGTCGTCGTCTTTTGTGTTGGCTCTAGCTGTGTCTCGATGGGAGGCGCTGGTTGGGGTTTTGTAGTCGATGGTGATGGGGGGGCGGACACACGCAGTTTTTCTGAGTCTTGGATCCCCGCGTGAGAGTGTGAGAACGGCCGTACGCCGGGGTTGATTTCAAGCTTCGTCCGAGGAAAGTCTTTCCGCCACCAGCAGGCAGGGGCCCATTTTGTGAAGTGTTTTTTTGGTCGGTCAGCGGAATATGCAGGGCATTTCTCCTGTGCGTGTTGCTTGCTTTTGTGTGAGAGCGTTCCCATCCGTTTGTGCCCACCCCCCGTCATCGCCCGTTCCCACCCACCCTTATTCAACGCCCAGTGAGCTAGGGTCACTGTTGGCGAAGTGTGTTTAGCTTTAACGAGCTTGAAGCAGGCAGATTTCACTACTGTTGTTAATTTTATTCTCAAGAACAAAACCTCAGCGAACCGAGACTTGGAATGCCGTTTTTGGATGGCTGGGAACAATGATAAAATCGTCGGTCCGTGGCAGCACGGTTTATCGAGGGCAACATGTGCTGGCACCACGTGTGCGTCTGCTGCCATGGTTCATCGAAGTTGTGCTTCTGTCACTTGCGACTTACAAGTAGTTGAACCCGAAGGTCTTGCTTTTGATTGCGTTGCCCTCCCATGATGCCGCTTTTACGCCTTTACCCTACTGGCTTGCTATGCACACCGGGGTAGCGCATTAACCCGAACACAGCACCTGCCATGGGAATGGCACACGCGTGCTTGTCTACCTCTGGCCTTAATGGCAAGGCCGCCGATCGTCAGGCATAAAAAGTCTAGCCTCCTCTTGACGGCCAACTGTTCCCCGTGTGTGTTCAAGGTTCTGCTTGCCGGTCAGTAATAAAGCGGAAGGTACACTCGACAGAAGCGAGAACCTGGAGGAGAATCGAACCACCTGCCCGTACCTTTGCCAACATTTACAGGGTTTGCGAGGTTGCCACCTACAGCAGTAGACCATCTGGCCGGTCGGTTTGCCCTTTTTTGTTGTGATCATCGTGGGTGAGTCGTCCAACACCGGTGTTCACGAACGACCCCGCCGACCGCGCAGTGCAAGGAACAGAGACAGTGGAAACCCTGGGCAAGTCAATTACCCAGCTCTGCTGCTGCTGTTCCCAAGCTCGGTAGAGCTTGGCTTGCTTTTGAAACAATACCCAGCTTCTGCTTTGGAACGCCTTCTGGGACCTCCTCTACAAGTGTCCGCAAGGTTCAAACAGTCTCTCAGCTACGTACGCATCGTACTCTCGCAGCCGCGAGTCAGTCGTGTTGTTGCTCGCCAACAACGAATCCCCCGGGTGGTCGTCATTTCTACAGCTGCGTTTACCGGCGGGATGATTGCTGGAAGATGCCGCTGCAGCCCGACACACTCTGACGTAGGTTCGACATAAGCAAGTGATGACCGTGCGATCGACGCGTCAAAACGATGGGTAGATACACCTTTGAACATCTTGCCACGACCAGCAAAAAAAACCCTTTCAATCTCAACAAGGGGGCCCGCTAACATCGTCGACGCCTTCCGCATCTCGTCTGAACGTTCGGGTCGGCGTCAACACAAAATCTAGGCGCACGTCGGTCGACTCCGTTGGGATGCAGTCCACCACCTGTTCGTCGAAGCACACGCCCTGTTATTATCCCGGCAAGAAGGGTGGCAAAAAAACAACGGCCGATGGTTGGCGGTGAGGGGGCGAGGAGTGGAGAGGCGTCAACACGTTGCTCGGGAAAACCTCGGCAAAAGCAGCGTCACGCCCCGAGGGAAAAACCGTAATAGTCGGAGAGATGGCACCGGGTGCGATCATTTTTTTAAATGTTTTTTCCTCGGGTTTTTTATCGCACCCCGGTGCCAACTCTCCGACCCCGGTGCGGAAATGCAGTCAAATTATTTCGTTTAGCTTTTTCAAGGCACCCCGGTGCGATCTCTACGACCGGTGCCATCCCCAATGAAATACACACAGCAGGTGTTGCATGCACGTACCCCGGTGCCATCTCCCCGACCGGTGCGATAGTATTGATACCAGTGTAGGAATACCCCCACACACGGTCTTCTTCACACGCTAGTTGACAATGCTATTGATCAATATAGCGTACGTGTAGGTACCGTTGTAGCTGGTTGGAAGCACACCGATAACGGCAATGTAGGCTGGTACGTAACAGCTTTCCATGCACGCGAGTAGTGTTGTGTTTGAAGGCGAGTTTGGCTGTGGCGTGATAAGGACAACAAACGATGTGGTGTCCATCTGAGGCACCGGTACGTACGGTATCAGGCTGTCTCCGCTTTCGTTTCGGTCTTCCTCTCTACGGATAGCAGTACGTACGCAGCAGTACAATAGTCTCGTGTTGTGTAAGGTGGGGTAGGGTGCGGCTTGTACGTTGTGTGTTTGGTTGAGTGTACGGTTGGCAACTGGCATCCCGCGTGGTCCGCGACCATGGATGTGTACATACAGGACAGGACTGGCGCTCCGCTGACACCGTCCCCACGTACGTGGAAAAGGTACGCACATGTACCTCATTCTGGCAGCTGACAGGAGTTCAAGCTTGGATTTGGGGGTCGGTGAGATCGCACCCATCGCACCCGGTGCGATCTCACCGACCCCGGTACGCAAATCGAATTAAATCGTGCCGTTATTGTATTTCTTTGCGCACCCCAGTGCCATCTCCCCGACCCGTGCCATCTCTCCGACCGGTGCCATCTCTCCGACTATTACGGTACACGATGCGCGCTCATCGAAAGACACCGAGGGGTATATTGCATGTTGTAAAATTGATGGAAGATAGGACATACCAACCGCTGCAGTAGTGAGGACCAACGGCCTTGCAAGCATTGCAAAATGTAGACACGAGTTACCGCTGTCGCACCAATGCACCAAAAAGGGGAAGCCGAGAAGCAAGAACGTTGCCACTATCTTGTAGAACAACCGGCCCAGCCAAGAAAGGCACTCAATATGAGGTGTAATATTATTCATTCACGAACTAACGCAGGGTCTGAAGCCGTATGTATGCATATGTACCTCCACACACAGGACCTGGAACCGAGAAAACGCCAAAACTGAGCAGATCATCTCATCACATGATTGGCGGCGCATGCAGACAGACACGCCTCGTCCGCAGTGGAAAGCTTCAAAATCGTCAGAGGAATGCAGCAACGTGGCCATGGCTTACAAATGCCCAAGTCGGGGCACGTTCACTCACTATCGTCACTGGCGGTGGCCTACCCTTATCCATGCTGGCCTTGTTGACGCGTTCAAAGAAGCAATCTGGTAGCCCAAAAAGGGGACAGAGAAGCGGCGAGCAGGTATCCAAGAGAAACGGACACGTGACTAAACCACGCGAAGAAAGACAAAAAGTGGAGCATTTCTCGTAGAGATGAGGCAAGGAGGGGAGATCAAATAAAAAGCACAAAAGCAAACCGCTGTGGTCGAAAGCACTCCTCCAGCACCCTCGAAATCCCTTCCGAAGAAAACACGCCGCTTGTCCAAAACGCCATCGCCGATTCTACCGAAGGGCCATCAATTGGTATCTACATGAGCAACCAGACGCGCGTGAATAAAAAGTAGGCACCAACAACCCGCGCTAAAGATCAGCAAGCAGACTACCGTGGAACCACGAGAACAAGGCCGGCACGGATCAAACACACGCTGGCACTTGAAAAGCTGTGTTTACACCAGCGATACATCCATACCTGCTCCACGACAAACTACCCATTCAATGAGCGCCGAACCTCAACTCCAACAAGCTGAGCTTTCGGCGAAGAACGACGGGGGCTTTGTGGAGGTCAGAATATGGTATATCGATGCAATACAAACACACACACACATAGAGTGCAGACACACATAGAGAGATGTGTTGCACTACAGTAGATCACTTTTGTCCAAGGATCGCTAATTCTTCTGACTCTGAAAACCTGCGAGTGGTTGATGGATCTCGAGGTTGGGAGTTTGACTGACTTCGCTCGATCCCACTTGGCATTCCTCGCCGCACTCCACGAAACAATATAGCCAGCCTCCGGTGGCAGGTCATACCCGCCACACTCCGGAGCTTACGCTCACGCAGAGTTGAGGGCTCCATATAGACGTCGACGAAGAGATATCTTCTTTTGGTGGAAGAGAACCAGAGCAGGACGCACTCGTGTCGAGCGATCGGCGCAGACACCAGCCAGCGTGGTCGTGGCCCGCGCAGAACTGACAAACGTGACCGCTCCTTGTCGGGGAGCTCAACCTCGAACTTGCTGCTCCGAGTGCCCTGAGGCAGATACCATCCATCCACTCACTGCTGCTTAGACGAGGAACGCCACCTATAGTAGGGCTGTCTGTGACAACACCCTTCCTTGTGCGATC